ATCCATCCATCCATCCGTCCTTACCGGTGGTGATGACGCCCTCCAGCCGGATGATGTTGGCGTGGTCGAACTGTCCCAGGATTCCCGCCTCGCTGAGGAAGGAGCGCCGCTGTTTGTCGGAGCATCCGGCCCTCAGCGTCTTGATGGCCACCGGCAGCTCCCTCTTACTGGGCAGCTTGAGGCAGCCGCGACACACCTCCCCGAAGTCGCCTGCAGGGGGCGACACGGACACAAACGAGGTCAGTAATATTAATATTTAAGCCTGCTGCAGGTCGAGCTGCATCAGCATCAAAAGAAAACAAGAAGAAGAAATGAAAGGAGGCTGGAATCAGAGCATTTTGGGAAAGAAGAGATGACGCAAATGGACAGACACGGAACACAAAGAGATCAAAGAGACATCAAAGATGAAGGAGGACGCAGGTGAAACAACCAGAACAGCGGAGCTCGATTCTGGCCAAGATCAGTGAGTTACCAGAACGATTGAACTGGTTTCTCCAATTTGTCTCAAGGCAGGTTGAGGAAAAGTGCAAAAACACATTGAGTTTGCTCCGTTTGTTCCCACTGCGACTGATCTAGTCCTCATCTGGAAACAGAACCACAGCTTGGTTAAAAATGCTGTTGTTTTATCGTTTCTGCTTAAAACTTATGCCAGATTTAAAGTGGCCTCTCTCGTGCAGAAACAAGCTGTTTGAAGTCTAACAGAAATAAGCCTGATGATGTTGTCTCCAAATTCCCCAAATCTGTTTTTCTAACCTTTTAACACGTCCTTATGGTGTTTTTATGTGACACAGGACGCATCAGGAGTGAAATAAACAGCATGTTCCACCCTGTCTACGCCTTAAAAATGCTAAAACACAGGTTCAGACTTCCAGAGCAACAGAACTAAAGAATCCTGGATCAATTCCAGTTTTCAAAACCCAACGTAGAGCTCGTATCCTGCTGAACATCATATCCTGTAAACACAGTTGTGAAAGGGCCTCTGAAGCTCTGAAACAAGCTGCTTTAGGTCCAAAACATGACCCTGAAGATGGTATCTGAAAATTTCCATCAAAATCAGGTTTTTTAACTCGTGAACGCGTCCATATGGTGTTTTTAGGTGGTTCAGGACGCATCGGGAGTGAAATAAACAGCATCTCCACCTTGAAGCAGAAGTCTACCAATTAAAAATCCCAAGTTCAGACTTCCAGGGTAACAAAACCAAGGAATCCTTTTCAACTACGATTTTTTTTAAACCTGATGTGATGCTCATATCCTGCCTAAAATGTACAGTCTGTAGTCGTAAAATGAGCTCTGTGACACTGGAACAACCTGTAAGTCTGAAAAAATCACCCTGATGATGTCATCTTGAAAATTAACAATGAAAATCAACATTTGTAGCCTGTCAGCTAAACGATGTTATTTATGTGCTACAGGACACAACGTTAGTGAAATAAACAGCGTTTCCTCCTAAAAACTGCCGTTTACATGTTAAAAACACGAGTTTAAAAGTAAGGAATCAATCCTGGAATGACCCTGATGATGTTTTCTCTAAATACACTTTAGAATTAAAACGTTTTTTACCCTATTAATACGTCTATATGGTGTTTTTTTTATGTGCCATAAAACACGATGAGCAAAATAAACTGTGTTTCCAACTTGCACGGTGAAGTTTTCTGCATCATTTTTCTTCTTCAGAATCTGTTCCAACATGTTAGGATGATTTTTTGAAATAATTTTAAGACATTAAGGGATTATATTAACTCTAAAAAAAACTTCTAAGCTGGTGAGTTTTTAGTGAACTTTGACACACAGAACGCAGACCTCGACACATGCATTTGTTTGTCAGATTGTAAAAGAAAGAATGCAAAAAAAAGGAAAATTCTGAGTTTTCAGAGCTTTACCCACGCAAACCAATCAGACAGGATATGTTAGTGGTGGCTGCAGGCAGGTCTTTTCTTCTCATCTTCATGAAGCTGCAGCATTAAATCGCTCTGTTCTGGTGTATAAAGTCGTACCTGTGTGCACGATCCTCTCGATCTTGATGCTGGAGTTGTCGAGCTCCTTGGCGAAGGCGTGCACGGCCTGCAGCAGGTCCTCGCAGGTCTCCGGGTCGATGTAGGTCCTCCGAGTCGGGATCTTAACTGGAAGAAACACACAACAAAGCACGGCCTTCACAGAAGTTCATGGTTTCGTAAATGACCTTTGCACATCTTATGAGGCGGCGCAAAATTTACGTTTGTCTGCACAAAGAAAGGCACGATAAAAGTCTGGAGCGCCCGGCGGCAACGTGTCCTCATGAGACGCACAAACAGATGAAAAAGAAGCACTCAGATCCCATTAAAGTGAGCACACAAATACAGCTAGCTAGCCGATTGTTTTGTTAGCATAAAGAGACGTCTGAGGCCTGGCAGCTCCCGTCTGCCGACACAAAGAGCACATTTCTGATGTCTGCATCGCTTTGTGCTCCACTCAGGCTAAAATCAGTGCAGAAATTGGTGCCTTTGGCTGCTTCAACAAAGAATTTCTCTCCGTGTGATTGTTCAACATTAGACCCAAATGTTGTGTCTGAGACGAAGGCCTTGCTCTTTGATCCAGAGACTGAAATCAATACCAGTGGAATCTGAGAACACTGGAAAACTTTTCAAACTTCACCATAACTCATAAATATCTCAGCTGAGCCAGTTAAGCGAGGTCATAATAACCAAACACAACAGAAAATGTAAAGGGCGGTTTGTATCGGGAGGGTTTGGTCCACTTAAAAAATAGAAAACGCTTCGGTTTCTGTATTCACAGCTCGTCTAATTCTCCGTCTTTATTGGTTTGACCTTGCAAACTCCAGAAGGGAAAAAAAACGGAGATCAAAGGCTTTGAGTGCTGGAGTCTGACTTTGGGTTTCCTCCACGAGGCTTTATTCAGATCACAGAGCTCCTCCACAAGGCTTTTTGTCTTTTCAAAATGTTATCTCTGCAACACACATATGCAAAGCAACGCACAACACAGCGCAACCCTCCAGTCAGAAACTGGGACGAACACAATAAACCCTAAAACGCTGAGACGGAGAAACTCGACAGTGTCGCTGCGCTCGTAGTCGGACGGCTGCTTTGTTGTCAGTTTGGGGTTAAACAAATGGCAGCTTTATAACCTCAACAAAACTAGAGCGTTGCTGCAAGTTACATCCAGATTCTTACACTATCATCTATGTAGGAAAGACTTTAACATGTCAAAGCTGATTGAGAGAAACAAGAAACTATCAAATGTTCGTATTTGGCCGATGGAGCTGATTCTGGTAGACGATGAAGTTGTAGCTTCCATCAGCACAGAAGATCGACACAATCACCTCAGTCAGGGGTCAAGTCCCAATCACACACAGTTTTCTTAACATTATAAACACTTAAAGCACATCAATTAAAATTAATCCAGTGTATCTGCTTCACAACTGAACATCTCTGAATAAAAACCAAAAACAATCCCATTTCTGTGTCCAGTCTGTTCCTCGATGTTCTGAAGGTGTTCAGGAACCTTGTTGTAAAGCTTCAGTAGAAAACGTTTATTCTGTAGATGCATGTCAGTAAACGTAGATCATCTGTAGTACCTGGTTGTTCCACCAGGTGGAGCCTCTTCCTGTTT